GAATAACAGGATGGTTGTTGTGTTGTGAACAGACTCATACTGCAGATAAGTAAAGTGTATAGTGAGCATCTATAATTTGACTTTGCTGACCAATGGCTCCCTGAAACTCTACATTCCCTCAGTTCTCATACATTCCCTGGATTTTCCTCATATACACCTTATTCAGGGGCATTTTCTCCCCTGCCAACTACTTTAGAAATTGCATTCTTGTTTTGCTGGATTTGGGGGGGGGGGCGGGGGAAGGGGTCATTGTGGTTTCCAATACAATAATGGGGTAGAGTTCTGTGCATAGCACAACCCAGCACACCCCCTCCCTGCAGGCTCTGCTTTCACTGCCTGAGGGTTCTTTCCGCTGTACCTGCTTTCTCTGAATAACCCATTCTCCTGGTTTTAGCAACTCGCAGATGATTCCGAAAATCATATGTCTATTATGAACCTTTCTCTTAATCTCCAGATAAAAACATCTAACAGTCTCATACCAGGAAATCTCACACACATGCACATTTAAAATACAGGTATAAATTCAAACTCCTCATTTGTTCCTGAAACAGAAAAACTATCCCAAACTGAACCCGAACACCACTCAATCTCTTTTTCTTTATACCCCAATTCCATTAGTCAATGGGTCTCGATGATTTTACCTTACATTTCTCAAAGACAGCTGTCTAACTGGTTCCACGGTCTAGTTTTAAGACTGCTGTATAATTTATATTCTTCAGTTGTTTAAAGCAACAAGATCAATCTAGTTCCTGCAATGAAGTAGCTAAAAGCAGAAAAGGATAGTCTGCTACAAAACTCTCATACACCTCCTTGTTAGCTTACAAATATCAAAAAGCTCCCTTATTGTCACTTAGAATCTTAAATTTCAAGATTTTCCCAGAACTGTCAAATTCATATAACCTAATGCCATAATGGAATAATCTTTTAGAGTTAAAGATAAAAAAGCAAAATTATTATTTCTTTTTTTTTGTTTTTGGTTTTAGGTTGGTGTTTGTTTGGGAGTCACACATGCACCCATTATTATTCCCTCTTTGTTGCTGTTGTTGTTGGTTGTGTGGGGACCACACCCAACTATGCTTAGCGTTTCCTCCTAGCTCTACACTCAAGGACAACTCCTGGTGGAGCTGGAGGGAACCATATGGGATGTCGGGGATTGAGCCTAGATCAGTTGAGAGCAATGCAGCACCCTCGCAACTGAACTTCTGAGAAGTTCAACATGGAGCTGGAGGAGTTCTATAAAGAAGACCACACCTTCTACAAGATCTTTGTTGGTGATTTTAATCCAAGATAGGACCGAGAAGATCAGCCAAAGAACTCCACATCAGGACCCATGGCCTAGAATTGGACGAACAGGGTGAGAGACTGTCTGAGTTCATCATGTCAACCAAGACCATCCATGGCAACTAACAGTTGCAGAAGGCTGAATTTAAACGTTGGACATGGGAGTCTCCCGGTGGACGGTTCCATAACGATATTAAGCACATCATATTCCATTGATGGTTTTGCCTGACAGATGTTGCTGTTGTCCCAAAATTCCAAACGGGATCAGACCACCGTCTCCTTCATGAAAAATTCTACTTCACAGAGTGGGGAGAAAAGGCTGCAAAGTTTAAGAAGAGAACTCCCAGAACGACCACCAACTGGGAGCTCTTTGGCACTACTGCAACAACATGGAAAGATGCCATTGTTGAGATGCTGTTGTTGACAACACTGACAAAGAATATGATCGACTGGTTCAGCACCTCCAAGATTGTGCAAGGAACGCTGAGAGAGATAGCCACAAAAAAAGCCTGTCTTCAAAAACTCTTACGCTTATTAGCCAACCATTCTCAATGCAAGCCTCAGGCAACCACAAGCGAACATCGAGCTCGCAAAGCAGTGCAGAGAAGTGAAGGAAGAGCTCAAAGAGAGAAGAGCAGCAGTGCTAGCAGATGCGGCAGAAACCAGGAAAAGCATTCGCAATGCCCAGCTGTCCTTCGCCAACTACAAGACCAAGATGACTGCCCTCCGACATCCTGATGGATCTATCACATCTTCCAGAAGGGCAATAGAGAAGATTATCCGTGACTTCTACTGGGATCTCTTTGATAGCCAAGTTCACCTGCCCACATACCAAATTCCGCAGGATGGATATGTCATTCCCAACGTTCTCCCTTCTGAAATCCGAAACGCCATTTGGTCGGTAAAGAAGCAAACAGCACAAGGCCCAGACAAGGTCAGACACGAACACCTGAAGAACCTGCCATTGGTATTCATCAATACACTGGCTCAGCTCTTCACACGCTACATGTCTGAATGCAAGGTTCCATCCCAGTGGAAAATCAGCAGGACTGTACTACTGTACAAGAAGGGAGACATCCAAGACATTGGCAACTATCACTCAATCTGCCTATTGTCTGTCTTCTACAAGCTGTTCACTCGAGTCATCCTGAATAAGATTGGTAGAACATTAGATGAAGGACAACCATGCAGCAAGCTGGGTTCCACAAAGGATTCAGCACCATCGACCTTATCCACACAATAATCAAGCTCATTGAGATTTCTCGGGAGTTCGAGATGCTGCTCTAACATTCACTGATTTAAAGAAGGTCTTTGATTCTGTTGAGACAGAAGCAGTCATCGAAGCCCTAGCCAAACAGGTTGTTCAAACTCAATACATCAGGATCCTCCGTGAGCTGTATTACTGATTCACTACCAGCATCTCACCATTCTACAAAGAAGTGATCATCTATGAGAGGATGGATGATCCCCTCAAGATCTCATCCCCTCAAGAGAGGGGTTCGGCAGGGTGATACCATTTCACCAAAACTCTTCAGTGCCACCCTTGAGAACATCATGCGATGACTGGAATGGGAAGGAATGGGAGTGAAGATAGATGGTCGGCAACTATACCACCTCCGCTTTGCTGATGACATCGTTCTAATAACACCAAACATTAGCCAAGCAGCACAAATGCTGGCCAACTTCGACCATGAGTGTGGAAAGGTCAGACTACAGCTGAATCTCACGAAGACAATGTTTATGAGAAACAATCTCATTCCTGACGTTCCATTCGCTCTCAATGGAATGAGCATCTCCGAATGCAACAGTTATGTGTACTTAGGTCGAGAAGTTAACATGATGAATGACCTGGCACCCGAGCTGTGCAGGAGGAAGAGAGCGGCTTGGAATGCCTTCAAGAACGTCGAAGAAATAGCTAAGAGGATGAAGAACCTCCAGCTACGAGCACATCTCTTCGATTCCACTGTTCTTCCTGCATTAACATACGCCTCAGAGACCTGAGCCCTACGAAAACAGGATGAGAACGCTATTCGGGTCTCCCAAAGAGGAATGGAATGAGCTATACTTGGAGTATCATACTTCACTCAAATGAGTGAAAGAATCCGGAGTTCCGACCTCCATTGACGGTCAAGAATCAGGGACGCTGTATCATTTGCCAAGGCATCGAATATCAGATGGGCTGGACACGTAATAAGATTTGAAGACGACAGCTGGACTAGAGATGTTACTGACTGGATTTCACGGGACATTAAAAGACTGCGTGGCCGCCCACCTACAAGATGGTCAAAGTTCTTCGTCAAGACCCTGAACAAGGGCTGGAGCAATGGCACAGTGGGTAGGGCGTTTACCTTGCACACGGCCGACCTAGGTTCAATCCCTGTCATCCCATATAGTCCCCCAAGCACCGTCAGGAATAGTTCCTGAGTGCAGAGCCAGGAATAACCCCTGAGCATCGCTGGGTGTGACCCAAAAAGCAAAAAAAAAAAAAAAAAAAAAAAAAGACCCTCGATTGGTTCGAGGCTCTTCGTGTTCCTAGAATGAGCAAACGTCATTGGGCTACACTAGCACGTGACAGGGTCGAATGGAGACGTTACTGGCACCCGCTCGAGCAAATCGATGAGTAATGGGATGTCAAGTGATCAAGTAACTCAACTACCGGGATTTAAATAAATATAATTTGCAAATCACCTTCTGCCGGTAGAAAGAACTTTGTCTCTTTCCTTTTTTCTTTCTTCTTTCTTGTGAAGCAGAAAGAAGATTTAATTTAAACTTACACAGATGTGAGGGGAGAGAAAGGGACCAAGCACATATTCAAAAGAAAACACAGGCTTTTCCCTGGTGGATAAAGCTCAGGGATACTGAGGGGCAAGTGAGACCCATATTCCAGGGAGAACACAGGCTTGGAGAGGAAGAAAACACTTTCTTTTGTAATGTTCTGTGTCTTAAACAGAAATTGAATGCTTGTACCTACAATTATCGGAGAGCCCGGCAAGCTACCGAGAGTATTCGATATGCCAGACACAGTAACAACAAAAGTCTCCAATGGAGACGTTACTGGGCCCGCTCGAGCAATTCGATGATCAACGGGAGGGCCTTTACTTTTACTTTTTAAGACTGAAGTTCTACAAAGATGCCTCGGCTATCAGCCATTGACATATTATTGAAAGAGGAGAAATTCTATAAAACTTATTTTTATTTAATTCCTACGAGATCAGGTAAACATTTAATTGTGTATTTTTATTAGATAAAACATGATCTGGAAGAAGGTTAGTTCAGCAAGATTAAATACGTGTGCTTTAAAAATGCATGCTAAGAAAATGTAAGCGAAAAGTAAATAGCTATAACCATTTTCATATTTAATACATGATTTGGCGGGGAAAATAATTTAATTCCAAGTTAGCCCTTATCACAATATTGAGTCATGACTATGATTTTAATTTGCATTTATTATCTTTTAAAGCATATTTAAAAGAAACAAAAAGTGAGATGAATTTTTTAATTCGAGGAGTATATTAAAATGTGCATATCTTCTGTTTGGAAGATCGAGTATTTTATATCACTGTAATAGCTATACACAAAGTATACCAACAATTCTTATCAAAATTATGAAACAGATAACTATGAGTGTTATCATGAGAAAATTTTTACCAATAGTAAAAATGTTCAAGATTTAAAAGTATGATAATATTAAAACCATAGTATTCCTGACTTAAACTCACCTGCAGTGTGAGACTCTTTACTGCATTCCATACAACTCCAATGAATTCCTTCATTCTTTCTTCAGGACTTCTACAGCCTTCAGACAGACTCAGCATCGTCTTCACAGGAACTGACAATGGTCTGGACTCTTGAGTGCGAAAAGAGCAAATTATTTAACAGAAACTGTACGATGTAGTTAACGCAAAGTAATCGGAACATATTTTCAAGATTACTCCGTGCCTTGCTTAAAATTAAACAATCTCCAGATACTCAATTAATCACACTCATCTGTGATATACAGAGAAATAAAACCAGGGAATGCAGAGTGAGGACAAACCCTTGGCCTTTGGTTACAAAACTGGGGCTGGCAAGCAGTAGGGAGTACAGGGAGAGGGAAAGGAAGAGCCAGACATCAGGACAAAGACAGCGAGTCTTCAACACCTTGGTACTGTAAAGGTACAGGAACTGGCTATTAAAACATGAACATTAACAACAATCATAACCATGTTCTCTAAAACAATGGAGCATTCCACATTAGTCTGCAAAATATTTCATTAGTATAATTTTTATCTTACAGAACTATTTATTTTTAAAGAAAAAAATTTTAAATATGTTAAGTCAGGAAAGCATGGGTTGGTCTTGTCAGAGACTGGGCTGTGAGCTGGATCAGTGGAAGGGCCTACACAACAATTGAATGCATGGTTGTTTTTATTTTGTAAAATTTCATTAAAGTACAATCTCAATGGGGAAAACAGAAACAAAATGCTAAGCAATTTATCTGTCCATCAAAAAAAGAAATAGTTGACACTGTAATACCTGCAAAGCAAGATTATAATTTCATCACCTTTTTAAATGGAACAATTAAAGATATGACAATGTATTTACATGATAAATTGTGAGGTAAAAAAATACTGTACTGTGATCCAAAGGTGTTATAAGAAGAGTGTAGTCTACTCCCATTTGTTTATTTTTGTTTCTGTTGGAAACAAAAACAATGGAATGATATTACTGAGAGCACCGTTGAGGTCCAAATCCTCGAGCACTCTGTCTATATTTTCCTCACTATTTTCGAAGGATTCTGACTAATTCCAAGATCTGTTATCAAAGATGATTTGATTTTGTGTAAGGTGTGATATACAGGTCATTTCTTTATTTTTTTTCCATGTAACTACCCAGTTCCCTCAATGCATTTGGTCAAAGGATTATCTTCACCCCACTTCATGGATCTGGCTCTTTTTATCATAAATTAGCTGCCTATAGCTGCCTATATATGGAAGTTTATCACTGGGTTCTCTATTCTAACCCATTAAGACTGTCGCGTATTTGTTTTTCTAACACATAGAAAAAAAAACATGGCAGAGGAAAAGGCGATTCTTTGACAGAGATAACCTCTGAGGAGGAAAAAATACAATTGAAGACAGATAAGGGAAGGGGCTACTTTCTCTCTACTTGAAGAATTCAATGTTTAACAATCACGAATAACTTTTTATAAGCTTTCTATAAAACACACATTCATTTCGTTTCCTAAATGGAAGCTATTCATGACTCAAAAACATTATCAAGTCATGAGAACACAAGGAAGAATTTAAAAGTATATTACTAAAGCCAAGAAGACAGTATGAAAAGATCCCATGCTGTAAATTCCAACTATATGACATTTTGGAAAGGCAAAAGTATAAAGACAATAAAAAGATCTATGGTTACCGGGAGCTAGCAGGGAGAGAGTGGAACAGGAAAAGCATAGAGGATTTTTAAGGTTTTTAACTATTGATGACAATATAATGGTGGACACATGCCATCATAAATCTTTCCAGACCTGTAAAACGCATGCCATGAGTAAACCCCAATGTAAATGCAGAGAGGGGCCTGGAGACAGCTCAGGGATCAAGGGAGGTGCATGCCCTGTGCATGCATGAGGCCCCAAGTTAAATCTGCAGCACGACATGTCCCCGGAATATCACTGGGTGTGGACCCTGAGGCGCCCACGCACAGTTTCCGCCAGCAGCAGGAGGGAAAGAAGCACCACCTCACTCAGCCCTGCAGCCCGCTACTGACCTGTCTCACCACGCACCACCAGGCCCCCTGAGGAAATGAGGGAGTCGATCAGTACAATGTAAGTTGTGAAACATCAGGTTGGTAATTAAGTGTCAATACAAGTACAATCTACCACTGGTGAGGCCTCTAACAGTGAGCTATGCAGATGTTGAGACAAAGGATGCATGGAGAGTCCCTGTACCTGCCCCAGAACTTTGCTATAAGACTACTGATAGAGCAATACGTTTTCAGGGGTCCAGAGACTAGCTCACAGGCTGGAGAGCACGTTCTGCATGCTGCACTCCCAGGTTTGAGCCCCAGTGCTTCCTAGTTCCCGAACACCAAGGGAAGCAATTTCCAAATGTTGCCAGGGTGGCCTGAACCGCCTGGGGGGGGGGGGGGGCGCTCTGGAAGTAACTGTCTAAAAATTTAAATGCAGACCAAAAAAATGTTGACTTGGGGCCCCACCCAGCAGTGCTCAGAGTTTACTCATGGCAGAGGCACTGGGATACAAGAAGAGGTGCTGGGTACTGACCCAGGTTGGCCATGTGCAAGGCAAGTTTCCTACCTTCTTTTTTTTTTTTTTCCCCCTTTTTCCAATGTTTACTTTTATTTTTTTTTTTAATTTATTTATTGAATCACTGTGGGAAAGGTTACAAAGCTTTCAGGTTTATGTCTCAGTCATGCAAATATCAAACACATTTCCCTTTACCAATACTTATTTTTTCCCATGAAGAACCCCAATAAAACCCCACCCCCCACCCCTCCCCGTCCCTGTGAGGCAGATGAATTCTAGTTAACACTCTATCTGCTTTGATTAGATTGTTTCAATAAAAGATTCACCACTATTATTTAGAGTTTAACCCCCCCCCCCCCCCAAATCAGACATGCTGAAAAAGCATTGTGAAGTGATTTGCTTTCTACAGCTGGGTTCAAGAATTAAATGTTGGTTTTGGATTTCTGCTATTTTACCTATTGACCCTGGAAGTATTTCTACTGAAAGTCAGATAGTTAAGAAATTGGTTTCTGTGTTCTGGAGTCGTGGCCGTGCTGGAGAGCCGCTCGCGGGGGGCAACTGGTGGCCTCAGTAGGGCGTGAAGGGCGGAGCGAAACGCCCCCCTTCCCATGAGGTTTTAGTTGCCCCCACACTCCCGGCTCATACCTGCTGTCCACAAGGCTCCCATGTGGCCACCATCTTTCTTTCCAGAGAGGAGAGGGCGAATGGGGCAACACCCTTTCCCCTCCGGCAGACTTGATGGCCTGGATCAATGCATAGTCCGTTCACTTTTCTGCTCCAAGCTGCTGGGTTCTGCATTAAGTCCTTGTGCTTCTGGGGCCATGGCCGTGCTGGAGAGCCGCTCGCGGGGGGTGACTTGTGACCTCGGTAGGGCGTGAAGGACGGACCGGAACGCCCCCCGACCCATGAGGTTTTAGTCGCCCCCACTCCCCCGGCTCATACCTGCTGTCCACAAGGCTCCCATGTGGCCGCCATCTTTCTTTCCAGAGAGGAGAGGGCGAATGGGGCAACACCCTTTCCCCTCCGGCAGACTTGATGGCCTGGATCAATGCATAGTCCGTTCACTTTTCTGCTCCAAGCTGCTGGGTTCTGCATTAAGTCCTTGTGCTTCTGGGGCCGTGGCTGTGCTGGAGAGCCGCTCGTGGGGGGCAACTGGTGACCTCGGTAGGGCGTGAAGGACGGACCGGAACGCCCCCCTTCCCATGAGGTTTTAGTTGCCCCCACACCCCTGGCTCATACCTGCTGTCCACAAGGCTCCCATGTGGCCGCCATCTTTCTTTCCAGAGGGAGGAGGGCGGAAGGGAGCAACACCCTTTCCCCTCTGGGCAGAAATGATTGCCTGGATTAACGCATAGTCCTTTCACTTTTCTGCTCCAAGCTGCTGGGTTCTGCATTAAGCCCTTGTGCTTCTGGGGCTGTGGCCGTGCTGGAGAGCCGCTCGTGGGGGGTGACTGGTGACCTCGGTAGGGCGTGAAGGACGGACCGGAACGCCCCCCTTCCCATGAGGTTTTAGTCGCCCCCACACTCCCGGCTCATACCTGCTGTCCACAAGGCTCCCATGTGGCCGCCATCTTTCTTTCCAGAGAGGAGAGGGCGAATGGGGCAACACCCTTTCCCCTCCGGCAGACTTGATGGCCTGGATTAACGCATAGTCCTTTCACTTTTCTGCTCTAAGCTGCTGGGTTCTGCATTAAGTCCTTGTGTTTCTGGGGCTGTGGCCGTGCTCCAAACTTAACTCTGACTTTCAGGGAGAAAGATTGGGTGGTTTACTTCTCATTGATCACTTTGTATATAGAGAGATGTCGCGCGGCCGCGTAAGCAGCCGCGCGGTTTTGAGAAAAAGTCCTCGTTCCCGCATACTCGAGCTGTGTTTGTAGAGGCTTCTGGTCACCGGGGTTCCATCTGGGGGAGGCGGGATGCGGCACCTACTCCATCTGGAACTTGCTGGTGAACTCGGCTCTTTTTGGAACCTGTTTTTTCTTTTTTTTTTTCCTCCGGGATCCCGCACCCTCCATGTGTTCTTTCTCTTATGCTGAACGCTTCCAAGTTTCCTACCTTCTGCACTATCGCTCTAGCCACGAAACACCAAAATTTTTTTTATTTATTATTTTTTTTATTTATTTATTTTTTTACAGTTGTAGATTTACAATTTTTTTGTGCTTGGGTTTCAATTATACAATGATCAGATACCCATCCCTCCACCAGTGCCCGTTTTTCACCACCATGGATAATATCCCTCCCACCCCCATCCCCCCATCCCCCCCTGCCTCTGTGGCAGGGCAATCCCCTGTGTTCTCTCTCTCCGTTTGGGGAAACACCAAAATTTTAAGCTCTAAAAATAATAAATTCCAAAGGATTCCACAATTTATTTATAGCCAAATTTAAAACATTTAGGATCTGCTGATATAGAAAACTGTTATAAATTACTATTATTATTTGAAAATGAATCACTCTAATAAATTCTGACATTAACAAGTAATTACATAATAAGTAATTACATAACAGTTTTAAGTTTCTTTTTACCAATCAGTTGCATGTTTATTGCAAATGTCTTATTTTCTAACAAGATTATTCATTTTAGGGGAAAGGGGAGCTCA